GGGTACGGCACCTTTTCTGACATGGTGCAGGTGGACCAAGGCATTCTGGCTGGATGCACGCATGCCGTTTGTATGCTTGAGTGCCTCACGTTACGTGCCGTTCTACGTCTGCGTGACAACTACGCTGGGGTGGTGCCGCGGGCTCTTGTTGATGATGTTTCGGTTCAGTACGTTGGATCTGACCCAAAGGGCCTACTGGCGCTTGATTTGGCTGTGAGAATATTTCAGGAGGACTCGAGAGTGCTTGGTTCTTGCTTTAATGATAAGAAGTCGGGGCTGGTTGCCGCGACGACGGCGTCTCGTCAGATCCTGCGAGGCTCTAAGTTTGCACATCGGCCGTGGATGCGTAACCTCGGCCACGAGACGTTCAGCATTCGCCCTATTCGGTTGCAAGAGAAGGCCCGACTTCGTGATCTCCAGAAGCGACGTCATCGCCTCCATATGTTTCGCCAAGTTGCTGGACGGAAGAACTCAGTGATCTGGCGGGCAGGAGCACAACCAGCTGTGGCCCATGGTGCAGGCGTTTCGGGCATGACCGACACTGCTCTTGTTATGGCCAGGTCGGTCGCTGCTACCATGGTGGGGGCACCGCCGAGAGCGCACAAGACGGCCTATATGTACTGTCAGTGGCAGGTGCGTTACGACCCGATCTTTGATGCGACGACGGCGCTTTTGTGTCGGCTGCATTGTTTTATATGGGATGCACGGGTGCCTCTCAGTGCGCTTCGACATGCATGGCTGAGTTTGGTGGAGCGTGTTAACGGCAAAGGGCTGACCTGGGCTGCGGTCCGCGGCCCACTGGGCGCCGCCTGGCTCACACTCAACAGAATCGGTTGGGCCTTTATTGGACCTCACCACTGGCGTAGTGACCAAGGTGAGGACTTTGATCTTCTGCGAGTGGCGCCAGCTGACATGAAGGTTTTTCTTGCAGAATCGATCAAGCGCTGGCAGGTGCAGCGGCTCGTGTATCACTTGCCTGTGCAGGAGGCGTCTCATGATGTATGGGAACGAGCTCGTCGGCTTGGGCTTCGTGACCTGAGGCAGGCGCCGCTTGGAGCGCTGAGGGCACTGTGGGCTGATCGGTACCCCACTGCTGCCCGCCTTGCTGCATGGGGAAAAGATGTGAAGGTGCACTGTGCCGCCTGTCAGTCTGATGATGGATCCTTCGGGCATGTGTGGCATGAATGTCCCAGCTTGCTGCAGCCCGATGAGAGCGAGGAGGCTTCTTGCGTTGAGGTTTTGTGTGGGCGACGCGCTTCTCATCGGGACGCTCTGCGAGCGCTTGGACACCGCCCCCCGCTCGATCCTGAGTTTGACAGATTATATTTTAGTCATGGTTTCCCGAGGCTCTCGATCCAGCTTCCATCCCCGCCTGAATCGTCGGTGGTGTGGGGGTGGGGCGACGTTGGGGGTGATTGGGGGCCTGTTACTTTCGGGGATGGACGCGCGCAGCACCCCGCCGTGCCTGAAGTTAGGCGCGCAGGGTGGGCCATTGTTCAGCTCAACGATGAGCCCCTCCCTGTCCGCGCGGTGCATGGATCCCTGGAGGGTGCTGTCCAGGCCGTGGCAGAGCGGAGAGAACTGCGCTCCTGCATGCCATGGGGCGTAATCCCAGATTTGAGGTTTTTGCTTCGGATTTGCTTTCTCTGGTTCAGGAAGGCTCGTCTTGGGACCCTGAATTGGCGTGCGGAATGAACAGATACGCTGCCATTTGGAGGAGTGTTTTTGAGTTGGCGAAGAGCAGGCCCGCCCAGGACCCTCCCCCTCACTTCGTTTGGACCCCTGCTCACCTCTCTCTTGAGGAAGTCCTGGAGCGAAAGCTGGACCCGATAACCTGGATCGGGAACGCTTGGGCCGACCTGTTTGCCAAGCTAGCGTCGACAAAGGTCATGATAGCTAGAACTACGGCCGAGGCGGTCGCTGGCGAGCTCAAGTTTCATCGTGCTACCATCGATTATATCTCCTGGGCTGCTGCCAGGCTTGCTCGACTCCGACGGTGGACCTCACTGCCGCCGCCAGCGAGAGTGTGTCGACCCCCGCCTGCGCCGCAACTCAGCTTGCATGGTCACTCCTTTTTCTTAGACCCTGACTCAGGTGAGGTGAGATGTATCTCATGCTTTGTCGGGGCCTGGACCTGCAGCACCCTTGCGCATCTGTGCAACGGCCCCTCAAAGTTTTGCCGACCCACGGCCCTTTCGGCCCTTAAGGGGCAAGAGTGGTTGCGTGTGCGAAACCAAGCGCGGCCTGCAAAGGCTGCGGCTGTGGTCGAAGCGGGCCAGGCCCTTGTGGCTGAGGGTCTGCTGCCGCCCCCCCCCCCCCTTGGAAATCCCTCGGGAAACGAGAGAGAGGCGGCCATCTGCGAATTCGAATCGAGAGGTCACGCGATTGAGAAGTATGATCGTGTGATGATTTGCTCTATTTGTGCTGGCTTTGTGTTGCTTCCGCGCGGCGTCCCTCGTGCTCCGATGGCAAAGTGTCTGGGTGCTTCCAAAGTGCCATCAACCAGGGACAAGCAGTTGCGGAAACTGTCCAAGGCCTCCAGAGGCCTGCACCCGTCCACGGGTGAAGTCCTTTCCTGTATGCAGGGCCCCTCTCCCTCCTCGCCTTTGTCCTCCCCTGAGGTGGCCGCCACTGCCGATGGTGGGGGCGTGGGGCGGTCGGGTGGAGCGGGTGGGGGGGGGAGTGTCGGATGACTCTGACTAATGTTTTGTTCTTTCGGCGTCGGCTGCTGCCGTCGCCCGCCGCCGCCGCTGGCGGCCGCCTCCTGTACGCGAAGTACAGCAAGCTCGCGCCAGGCGCGCCCTGCTGTCTCCCGCGTGCCCACCTTTCCTAGCCTAGGGTTGTTCGTTCCCGCGGACGACCTTCCTGTCGGCGCCCACCTCCTCCTCCTCCTCCTCCTCCTCCTCCTCCCTCTCTCCCTCTCTTCCTATCCCACTCTCTCTGAGGGTTCCTCCGAAGGGCTTAGGCGACCCGTCTTCTTCCTCCCTTCTCCTTATCCTCCTCCTCCTCCTCCTCCTCCTCCTCCTCTTCCTCCTCCTCCTCCTCAGGTCGCCTACGATTCCGGGGGAAACCGTGCACCTCTCTCTCGTTCTCCACCGTTCCCAGTTCTCGCTTCGGTTTCGACCCCCCGTTGTTGCACGAGCGTGTCTTGCCGCCGCTGGGGTCTGCGAGCAGTGTTGAAGCGCGCTGTCGTCGTCATGTGGAGCTTACCCGAGGCATGATCGGCATTCGGGCACGAATCATTTCACATGGGCCGCTCCTGTCTTCCAGCAGCCTCTGTGCGGCGACCATTTTTGTGAACGACGCTGCCCACTCCCGCCCCTCCTGCACTTGCTCCTTCTCCTTTTTCTCTCTCGTGTGCCACACTTTCTCAGTTGGACGCTGCCAGCACAAGATCAAGGGTTCGGGCTTGCTTCAGTACTTTGCGTTCTCGAGGCGCGAATCCGCAACGAGCAAGTCAGTCACGTGTCGCTCTCAAGATTGTTCTTATCTGGTGGCCGCCACCAATTTGAAACATCTGGCTGCTCTCGGCCGGATCCACGGCCACTGCTCCTTTCAAGCACGGCCCCGATTTCAGCATATTCTTTTCTCTTGTGCTCGCAGTCTCTTGGAAGGGGCTAGGCCGAGGAAAATCCCATTCCAGAGCGTTCCGGAACGTTCTCAGAGCTTTCCGGAACGCTTTGAGAAGGCCGCGGCGCCCGAGACATTCTCCACAGCCGCCGGACCCCAGAGACTCCCGATTCATCCCCTCCCCACCAGATCTGGTCCTCGTCTTGGCCTCGTGTCAGTCTCCCCCCCCCCTCCTCCATCCTCCCCTTCCCCTCCCTCCCTCCCTCTCCCCTCGCCCGAACCTCTACAGAAAACCCTTCGACAACCTCCGAACGCCATCCGAAAGCACCCGGTCTCCTCCAGGGACCCTCGAACACCAAGGGGGGCATCTCGGCAGTCGCAAGCAGACCGCCGAGAAGTTCCCAGATCCTCCTCCTCTCTCCCTCCTCGGAGGAGGGAGGAGGAGGGAGAGAGGAGGAAGGGAGGAGGAGGAAGGAGAGAGGGAAGGGAAGAGGGAGGGAGGAGGGAGGAGGGAGGGAGGAGGGAGGAGTGAGGGGACGGAACGAGGACGGAGCGAGGAGGGAGGCAGAGACTCCCTCCCTCCCTCCTCTCCTTCCTCCCCCCTCGCTGCTCTCCATTCTCCTCGCTCCTCCCTCCTCCCTCCTCCCTCCTCCCTCCTCCCTCCGCCCTCCTCCCTCGTCCCTCCGCCCTCCGCCCTCCTCCCTCCGCCCTCCTCGCTCCTCCCTCCTCGCCCTCGCCGCGCCTGGCTGCTGCAGCCCCCCCAGGTGGAAGCGGCTCAGGGCGTGGTCGGGGCCTCAGCTCCCGTGGGCCCGGCCGCCTTGCAGGGCTCCTTCCAATTCCTTGCGATGAGATTCGATTTCGACTTCGGCTTGCGATTCCGATTCAATTCGTCTTCCCATTCCGACCTATAACATTCAGGTGTTCCAGCGGAGGCCCACTGCCCTGCCGATTACTGCCGATGCGACCTATCCTGACTTGGCTGCCGCTTTCCGCCAATCCGATTCGTTTCGATCGCCGACCCGACTCATCGATCCGACCTCGGGCTCTCGTACCACAGGTGAGGTCCCCTCGTCGAAGAAGTGCGGAACCCAGTTTCGCGAGGGCTCGAATTTGGAGTTAACCTTCGTCTGCATGAGCGCCTCGAGCGCTCGCCCAACGGAGGGTAACTTTAAGTCGGGCTCGTCCCTCTTCAGGAGGCATATTCAAAAATAGTTAGCAATTGTTCGGGGGCGATGTTTTGATCATGTTTGTCATTTTGGAGTATTTTTATATGTTCTTGAACGGTTTGAGCTTGGGCTTTTTGAATTCGGTGATGTCAATACATGCTAAACGATCCATGGAAGTTTACACATCGGAGTGCCCTCTCTCACCTGTCCCCGCTCTCCCCCCTCCATAGCCTGTCTTCGGCTTAAGGACGGGCGGCACGCCGCATGCCCGCCTCCGGCGGGCCCGCTGCGCTGCCGGCCTTGTGCGTGGCGCTGATAGCTGGTCTGGACTGGCGAGCGAGCCCCCTTCGGCCTGGACCCGTGCCACGGAGTGAGGCTCTGGTGTGGCTCGACGGGGACGCCGACGCCGGCGTCGAGGCCTTGTTGACGGCTCCGACTCCCACGGGGGAAGAGTGGTGCGCTGATCTCCCTCGCGGTGCTCTCGCCCGGGTGAGCTACGACGACGACGTCAAGGACCTCGAGCGGGTCGTGGTTTGGCCCTCGCGGCGAGTGGAGGCTGTCGAGCGGGTGGGTCTGCACTTCTACTGGGTCCTCTCGCCCGACGGCGACTGGAGGAGGGAGCGGCTCTCAGGGGCCTCACCTACCGACGGCCCTTTGGACGACGAGCGCATCGCCGACGGGGGTGCCTCGCCTGCTGATGGCCGGAAGCTGTGCAGCTTCCGCGAGCGGCCGACCCCTACTCGGCTCGTGGAGCCGGCCGACGGGTGCCGACTGGCGATGGAGGCTCGCGGGCAGGCGGCTGCCGGGGGGCCCGCCCACGTGGAGCTCGCCTCTGGCATGCTGCTGGAAGGCGGGGAGGTGTTCCCGTGGGCCGCGCCGCCGTGGCCGTCGCACCGACTCCACGGGAGGCAGGGGCACGTCTGGGTGCTGACCGAGCCAGTGTTCGACCTGGACATCGGCACGCTCGCGGACCCGTCGAACGAGACGCTCATTGGCGCTGGATTGGGTGCCCCCGGGCTTCGTCGCGGACGGGCGTTTCGTCAGGAGCTGGTGCCGCGGGACGACGTGGCAGGCTGGGCGTCACGCCGTGTGGCCGAGCTGGGCCGTCTCCTGGAGGTGGCAGTTCCCAGGGCGACGCTCGGCTCCTCTCCCCCGGGCGGTGTCCTGGATGGCGCCGCTGCCAGCGGCGCGGAGGGCGCTCCCGCCCGGGATGGCGCTCCGTCGGCTGTTGCTTTGGTTGACGCCGCTCGAGATGGCACTCGCATGTTCTGGATCGAGTGGGACGGCCAAGGGGAGCGGCACAAGGGGTTCAGAGAGGCCGCGAACGAGTCGGTGGACTGTGTCGAGGGCCACCAGCGTCAGGAGGACGGCCTGACTCGCCTGCACACCTGCAAGATGATGTACCACACGATGGGCACCCCTCGGAGTTGGCTCGAGAAGTTCTTGAGTGACAAGCACGTCGTGCACGCCGACCGGGTCGCCCCTGGGCCCTGGCCGCCGATTGAGGCGCTCGAGGAGGCCGTATCCTTCGACCAGGCCAACCTGGGGGGGCTCGCTCCCCTTGTAGTGGCCGAGCGCCGGCTCAACGTGACCGTGGACGCCTACAAGTGCGCTGGCACCCCCTCGTTCGCCACCGCCAAGTACTTGGCTCCGCTGGGCGAGTCAGACGAGTCGACGGCGCCGCCGCCGAGGAGCCACGTGGCCTACTACATGAAGGAGGTCTGTGGGGTCGAGCAGTCCGTGATGAAGGCCGAGGCTGCGGATGCTCGTGTGACGTCGGGATCTGCTGCAATCCAGCAGGGCGCTGAGGGTGCCACCACAAGGATCGGCGGTGGGGACAGGGGGGGAGGTCGCTGCGGTCGTGTCCGCGGAGGTCGCACCCCGGGGCTCCCCCCGCCGGTCCAGTCATGACCGAGAAGGCACAGCCGGGGGAGTGGGCCCCCCCCGGCTGGCACCACAATCTGGCCCGCGCCTCACCGCTGCCGCCGTCCGATTTTGAGAGAGACCTGTTCCCCGTGCCGATGATGGCTGCGCCGGGCGGCTCCGCCCGTGGGCGCAGGTCTCAGCGTAGGACTCGCGCTCGGCAGCACGAGGTGGAATTGGTGAATCGCGCCCTCCGCAGCTTGAACTGGTTGGCCGGCTTCAAGGGCGCGGCCGCTTCACCGAGTCCGGGCGCAACGACCCTGGACAAGCGTGCAGCCCTTCAGCAGCACTTGCTTCGTGAAGCTCATCGGCGACAGGCCGCAGCTCCGCAGGTGATGCCGAAGGCGGAGGCAGCCCTGAGGGAGCTGCTCCGGGGGCAGTCCGTGTACGAGACGGACTTGGCCCCAAGGAACCTCGTCTCCTACCTGCCCGGCAAGGTCTCACTTCCCGACAGCGTGCTGGACTGCCGCTTCATCGAGGATATCGTGTGCCCTGGGTGCCGCTCGTTCTTGGAGGAGAACCACAAGCGTATGAGGTTGGAGCCGGAGTCAGTCAACTTCGACAGCGTGCCGCGGCTATACATGGACCCGGTGCTGAAGAGGGACCCCAAATCCTACCGTACCTTTCTGCGAGATCTTGCTGGGCGCGGACTTCTTGGTGTAACGGCTAGGCCCGCCGAGTCGGTGGGCCTGTTTTTCGCAGCTAAAACGAACGGGGCACAGCGCATGATAATTGATGCGAGGCGGAGCAACGGCCACATCAGAGCTCCGCCAGGCGTGCAGCTTCTCAGCAGTGAGGGTTTCGGCCGGATCGAGATCGAGTTGCCGCCTGGTGTTCTGCCCTCGTCGGTTGAGGGGCAGCGGCTCCTGGGTGCCTTCGCCGTCTACGTGGCCACCACCGACGTGAAGGACTGCTTCTACCGGATGCGCGTGCGCGAGGACCTCGGCCGCTACTTTTGCCTGCCCGCCGCCCCCAAGTGCGTGTTCGACGGCCTGCAGGTGGCCGGCGTCCCGGCGGAGACCCCGCCAGACGCTCCCGCGCGGCCTTACTTGGCCGTGCTGCCTATGGGGTTCACGTGGTCGTTGTACCTGGCCCAGGCGGCGAATGAGGACAGGGTTTGCCGAAGCCCCAGCCTGTGCAAGGCGATGCCGGCTGGCAGGCAGCAGCCCTTGATTCAGGACTAGGCCGAGGCCTTCGTGCTTTGCGCCGCCTCGCGCGGGGTCGGGGGCGCCTACGTGCACGTGGGCGACCTAGGCGCCGTGTCGGACGACGCCGATCTCAGTGAGAGGATGGTGTCAGAATGGAGCGATCTTTTCGAGCCGGTCGGGCTGGCGCTCCACAAGTCAGAGTCCCACGGGGGCGCTGGTGAGGCTCTCGGCACCGAGCTTGACGGCGTCCGCCGTCGCTCGGGGATCACCTCGAGCCGGTTTTGGAAGCTCGAGCGAGGCTTACATGGCCTTCTCGCTCGGGGGCGTTGCAGCGGCCAGGCGCTTGAAACAGTAATCGGGCATTGCACGTTTTGCGGCCTGGCGGCTTGTGAGTCCCTGTCTATCTTCCACACTGTCTATAAGTTCATTTCGGTTCAGTATCTCGACGTGGGCCCGATGTGGCCCGAAGTGGTCGAGGAGCTCGTAGCTTTTAGAGGGGTCCTTTTGCTTCTGGGCCGCGACTGGTGGCTGCCATGGAACCCGTGCGTTTTAGAAACCGACGCCAGCCTAGCGGGCTGGGCGATGGCCCAAAGCTTCTGGGGCCCAGCTCAGGTCGCCGGCGTCGGTCGTGTCAGCGAGCGCTCCCGTTTCAAGCGCGTCGGTGCTCACTCCGCTCGGGAATCCGCACTCACCTCCGCCCACCTCTTCCGTGACGAGTCAGGCGAGTGGAGAAGCCAGCTTCTAGGAGACGATCCTCTTTCAGACGACTGGGAGGTCGTTGCGGGTTTTCCCGAAGTCCCCTGGCAGCTCCTCCGGGGCTCGGCCTGGAAAACCGTCCGGAAGGGGGTTTGGGGCCTTAGCGAGGGTATTCTGGTGCTGGAGGCCCGGGTCTTGGTGAAGGCCATCCGTAGGCTCGCCAGGACCAGACACGGGTCTTGCATCAGACAGCTTTTCTGGTGTGACAATATGGCCGTGGTCCTAGCTTTTGCCCGCTCGAGGAGTCAGGACTTCAAGCTTCTGGTCCAGATTCGACGCTTCAACGCTTGCGCTCTTGCCCTTGGCATCGCCCCATATTTTAGATGGATCCCTTCGGAGTTTAACCAGAGCGATGCCGGGAGCCGCGATCACTCGGAAGTCTCGTCCAAATTGCTAACCGATGTCCTGGATCAGCAGGTTAGGATCTCGCCCCCTTCTTCTCTCCCTGCTCTCCGTAGCCGTATTGGCTCAAACTATGCTCAGGCCTCCCTCGCTTCCGTGCCCGAGGAGTCTGTCCCGACGGATGTGCGCTCGGACGCTGCAGCCGACGTGGGCCCCAGCGCGGCCGATCTCTCCAGGGCCGCTACGTGTTCGGCCGAGACCTGGCGTTCGCCCGCCGCCTTGCCCGAGTGCTCCGCTGGCGGCGAGGGCGAGGGCGAGAATGCTGACGGGGCCCCAGAGAGCGACGGAGGCACGTGGCCCCAGAGCCCGCCTCGACGTACCGACGGGGGTCCACGGCGCCCGACCGGCCCGGACATGCTTGGAGCGCCGCCCTTGCCAGCCGCCGACGTCGCCTCCTGTGGCGCTCGAGGACCTCGCCCCCGCGGCCTCCGCTGGCGACGACGAGGCGGGCGCCGAGGGAGAGGGCGAGTCGAACGGGCCCGACAACGTGGTGAACCATGCGACGGCGGCTTCGAGGAGATCTCGCCGCCTCCAGGACTCCCGGCGCCAACGCCAAGCGGCCCTCCACACGGACATGTTCATGCAGGCCGTTGTCGGGGGGCCCGCGTTGCTGGAGCGTCTGGCGGTGACTCGTCGGGCGAGGGAGCGCTACGCCAATTATCTCGATCGTTCTTACTCGCATGCCGACCCGACCAACGACAAGCTCATGAGGGGCGCGAACGAGGCCGTGGACTGCTGGGCGTGCGACTACTTCAACGCGATGTACCTGTGCGAGGCGCAGAGCGGCCTGGAAGACCAGACTGGAACTGCCCTGGTGAACCGGCGCCCAGCTTTCGACCAGCGGGGCGGGGGAGCCCCGCCGCGGACGCGGCGAGCGCTGGAGGCGTGGAGACGACGGGCGCCTCCGCGGACCCGCCAAGCACTGCCGTTCGCCGTGCAGTCGCCGGGGGTGTGGCTGCTGGCGGACAAGGGCCTCCCGCTCGTGGCTCTGTTCTTAGCGGTGGGCCTCTCCGCCTGTTCCAGGTCCTCTTCTCTGGTGGCAGCTCTAAGGTGCGCCCTGGCCCCACCGCCGCGTGCAACAGTGGGCAGCTGGAACCTTCCGACTCACCCCGAGGAGGAGGGAAGACCGAGCAAAACAAATCGCTACAACAAGGAGTCCCTCCTGGACTCGAGCTACTTCCAGGGGGCAGGCCCTCTATTCCCCGAGCCCGGAGTGAGCGGAGACCGGCCAATGCTGTGGCCTTTCGCGCACCTAGAGCTTTCAAAGGCGGTGCAGCTGGCGGCGGCCGAGGACGGGGTCGACAGGCTGACGCTGTGCCACCTTCGCCGCTCAGGCGCGAGCATCGACGCCAGCAGGCTCTCGCGCACCCTAGAGGAGATGCGGATGCGGACCTGGCAGTCGCTCGCGCCAAGCTAAGGCGGACCTCCCGCGGCTGTCGCGAGAGACGCCTCGCCGCACAGCGTTTTGGCCTCAGAGGCCGGTATGTAGCGGACTTTTTCGCCGGGAGCCGGTGCATCTCGCGAGCAGGAGATAAACTAGGCTTCAGGACACGCAGTTGGGATGTAGCCCACGATCCAGTCTGGCAGAATCTTGTTGACCCAAAGGTCCTTCGGTCGGGGCCTGATATTGGCAGCAACTTTGGCCCCTTCTTGCCAAACCTTTTCAATCGCGCGGGATCGGACAGCAAAGATCCGGTCCCCGGACATGCCCTGGGGGTTGCCCAGACAGCTGCTCAGCGCCACAGACCGAGAGAAAGTCAAAGTAGGCAATCAGATTGCCCACGCCGCCATAGGGTTATTTGCTCTTTTCCATCAGCTCAAGATCCCTGCCGTTCTTGAGCACCCGCTCACCTCTCGTCTGTGGCACACCGCAGAGATCCAAGCTCTAGCCCACTTGCCGCATGTCAGTTTAGTTGAATTACACCAGTGCCAATTCAGAGCCCTATGTAAGAAGCCAACCCGCCTGATGTTCTGTCACGTTGCAGTTGACGACCTTAAGAATCTGTGCAGAAAATGCTGTGGTCAGAAAGGACGGTGCTCGCGGACAGGCCTCCCTCACTTCCAGCTCGAAGGAAGCGCCCGCACCCGTCCAGCGGCCGCCTACCCGCCTGAGCTCGCACACTGTATAGTTCGAGCGCTCACTGCCGATTGCGTCGCCACGTTCGGATACAACTCAAGATCCCTCCCTTCCCAACCCTAGTGAACTCCCGTATTCGGGAAACTTGGGGAGGAGTGAGAGCGTGCAACGACTTTAACCTCTGGCCTGGACGTTTCGAGGCTTACGTCAGATTCATGTCCCTGCAATGTGAAAAAAGAAGTGGCTGATATGGGCTTGATACATCTAACATGCTTGGAATGGTTTGCTTTGCGGGTCGGTTTTGTTGGGGGTTATTTTTGTCTGGTAGTCTTGGCGTTTTAGGATTTTTTGTTCCTTTGGTGCGGGGTGTGGTTTTTTTGGCATTTTTTCTTTTCTTTATTGTTATTTTTTCTTTTTTTCTATTGTTTTTTATTTGTTTTTTTCCTGTTTTGTTTTTACTTTTTGTTTTTTTTTTTTTTTCTTTTTTCTTCTTTTACTTTGTGGGCTTTTTGAATTCGGTGATGTCAATGCCTGCTAAACGATCCATGGAAGTTTACACATCGGAGTGCCCTCTCTCACCTGTCCCCGCTCTCCCCCCTCCATAGCCTGTCTTCGGCTCCTACCCTCCCACCCTGGGAGGAGTGAGAGCGTGCAACGACTTTAACCTCTGGCCTGGACGTTTCGAGGCTTTCGTCAGATTCATGTCCCTGCAATGTGAAAAAAAAAGTGGCTCTGTTTATGTTTAATTGCCTGTTGGGGGACATGCCCGACCTAAGGCTAAGTCCAGGCCTATCTTTGACGTGCCCCTCTTCGCCCCCCTGCCCCCCCCCCACCCTCTCACGCCTCCAGGCGTCGCGGAAGAGCCACGGAGGCCCAGGTTGCAACGTCCTCGGTCCCGGGAGGCCCGTCTCCAGCCCCAGCGTCGCATGCAGAAGAGGCGCCCTGGGTTTCTTGGGCGATGGGAAAGCGTGGCGCTCCCACGCCCAGAGTCAACGCACGTCCTGCCCGGGGTCTCGGGGCCGGGCTTCTCGTGGAGGGCCTCTCGCGGGCTGGCCTCCACTGCAGCAGCGACCCGCGACGAGGACCTTCGGGCTTTTCTGGCCCTCGGAAAGGCTCGCTGCTGCAGTGTGTGTGTATATATATATATATATATATATATGTTTGGGCATGTATATATGTATGTATGTATGTATATATATATATATATATATATATCTATATATATATATGAGTATGTATATGTATATATGCATAATATGTTTTTTATGTTTGTATTTCTATACATAATTTTTATATTATGTATACTTATTTTTTGATGTATATTGTATATGTGTGTTTATATGAGTACATCTATCGCGTGCCCAGCGTTGGAGGCCTTTCACGCCAGTCGGGGGCCAGGTTCCCCTCTGCCCTCCCTCCCTCCTACGCCCCGCGGAGGCTCTGGGTAGTTTCTGTTGAGGCCTCGCGCCACCCCGGCGCTCCCTCCCTCCCCCCCTCCCTCCTCTCGGGTCGGGCGAAAGGGGGGGATTGGGAAAGGGGGGGTTACGAAATTTGCTGCATGCAGCTGGTTTCGGCCCCACCGAGGGGCCCATTCCTCGATACATGGCCGCCTCCAGCGCCGGGAGGCGCCGGGAAAATCAGCTACGTGAGCTGATTCGCAACCCCCCCCTTTGCTATCCCCCTTTTCGCCCGGCCCGACCCTCCCTCTTCTCGCCCTCCCTCCCTCCCTCCCTCCTCTCGCCCTCCCTCCTCTCGCCCTCCCTCCTTCCCTCCCTCCCTCCCTCCCCCGCCTCCTTGCCTCCTCCCCGCCTTGGCTTCGGTCCTCCTCGGGGTTCTTTGGTGGCTTCCGGAGCTCCGAAGAGCCTCCACGGGGGGGGTTCTCCCACACCTTTTTGGGGATCAGGGGGGGAGAAGGTGAAGGAGCATGACAGGAATGATGAGGGAGCTAGAGGGAGGAGGGAGCAGGGAGGAGGGAGGAGGGAAAACGGAGGAGGGAGGGAGGGAGGGAGGGAGGGAGGACGAGGACGAGGAGGAGGAGGAGGAGGAGGAGGAGGAGGAGGAGGAGGAGGAGGAGGAGGTCGATGCTGACGAAGACGACGACGGCGTTGGCGGCCGCGATGATGACTCTGGACTGCCTCTGGAGGCTTATGGAGGCCTCTAGAGGCCTCTAGAGCACAAGACGGAGGACCAACCACGGCGAGCACCTGTGGCCTTCGTCCCCGAACCACGAACCTAGGCGGCGACGGCGAGGATAGACCCCCTCACGACCCAGGCCGAGGTCGTCGACGTTGACGTCGACCAAGGTCGACGTCGTTAGAGACGACAGCTGACAGCGTTGACGACGACGACGGCGACGACGCCGGCAGACGGACTTGACGACGACGGCTGACGACGTTCACGACATTTCTCGTCGTGCGGATGCAACTCCTGGAAGGTCAATTTCTGACTTTGCCGTGGTCCGAAATTCGGCTTAATCTGGCTTCATCCGGCTTAATCCGGCTAATCCCGCTTAATCCCGCTGAATCCCGCTTCATCTGGTTTTGTCTCGCTTACTCCGCGGCCTAATCTGGCAGGGCAGCCCCCCAACGGGGCTTCATCCTGCCTAAACCTTCGCGACGCAGACCTCCCAGCAGTTGCCTCCCACACGACGACGACGCTTCACGACGACGGCGACGTTTCACGAAGACAACGGCGTTTGACGACGACGACGACGACGACGACGACGACGACGACGACGACGACGACGACGACGACGACGACGACGACTCAGGTCGAGGAAGCTGTGGCGCCAGAGCCCTGCCGCCGTGGCCGGTGGCGCCGGCTGCCTGCTGGCCCTCGTCCTGGCCCTCGTCGTGCTCCGGTGCCGCGGCCGGCCCGCCGGCGGCAAGGTCGAGGCGCGCGCGCGGCCCCGCTTTTTTTTGATGATCCTCTGGCGCGTGAGGAGGAGGAGGAGGAGGAGGAGGGGGAGGAGGAGGAGGAGGAGGAGGGGGAGGAGGAGGGGGAGGAGGCGGAGGAGGAGGAGGAGGAGGAGGAGGAGGAGGAGGAGGAGGAGGGGGAGGAGGAGGAGGGAGAGCGAAGACGAAACGAGCACGAACAAGACTGTCTGGGCCGAGCCCTGCCCTGCGCCGCGCCCGGCTGCGGCAGTGCTCCTGCCGCCCCCCCCCCCCCCTAAGCCCGCGCCTCCACGCCTGCGGCCCGCCCGCCGCCCGCCCGCGGGGGCCCTGCCCGCGGACAGAAAGCCTGTTTGCGGAGGCTCTCGCCCGCGGACCCGCCCGGGGCGGCGCGCCCTGGCCGCGGACCCAGCTGAGCCCTGGGCGCCTGCGGCGGGCCACACCCGCCCAGAGTTCGTCGAGGAAGAAAATCGGCGTCGCCCCAACATGCTACTGCTGTGCGTGCGTCGCCCCCTCCCCCCCCGCGCCCGCGCCTCCACGCCCGCGGGGGCCCGCCCGACAGAACGCCTGCCCGCGGCGTCCCGCCCGCGGGCCCGCCCGGGGCGGCGCGCCCCTGCCGCGGACCCACCCGCGCCTTGGCTCGAAGAAGAAACAATCCCATAAACATAACGGTCGCTACACGGGGGGGGAGAGTTGCCTGGGGTAACAGCAACGCCTGGGCGGGGTGGGGCACGTCGGGGCGGGGCTGCGCTGCGATCGCCATGGTATGCGCGCAGGCGCGTGAGTCGTGCGGGCAAAGGAAGGAACAAAAGCGGCATGAGCACAAGCTTTTGGCGCTCCGCGCGTGTTCTCGGTTCCGCGCCTGGCGGCGCTTGGCGCTCCGCGCGCTCCGCGCGCTCCGCGCGGGGCTCCCCCTGGCGGCGCCTCGGGCGCCGCCCCTGGCGCGCTCCGCGCGCCGGGGAGGGGATCCGGCGCAGATCCGAGAAATCCGCGCAGAGCGCCAAAAGTTCATGGTCATGTAGTGTTTGTGCTTCTTCTATTGGAGCCTGCGGCGGGCCCACCCGCCCGCAGTTCATCGAGGATCAGCAGAGAACCCCTGACCCTAATCGCAGAATGAAGACGTGGCCTCACTTGGGTTCCCGTCGCTGCATCAGGGATCATGTCGTCGAAGATCAAAAGAGAACCCCCAACACCGACAACACAGTGACGACGTGACCTCACTCAGGTTCCAGTCTGTGCATGCGGGATCGTAGATCTGGGCAGTTTGGTTTGACACATCTGCAGAACAGACCCCCTTATGCTAAATGCTTGCGGCCCTCCTAACTTAGGTTCCCTCCCACAGGGTTAGGGGTCCTTCGATCTGGGCCTCCTGGATGGGGTCGGAGTGGATAGGGTCGGAGGATCGCGCCGCATGGCCGATG